TAAATTAAATGAAATTAATATTTTATAATTTTAATAACCTTAAAATTTTTATATGCAACCATAACGGTGCCCGTTCTTTTAGATCCCATCTCTTTGGTTTTACTGCGGCATGCTTTGCCATTTTGTAAAAAGTTATCCCTGCAATAATGGATCTATGTTTTTCACTCCGACTTCATATCTATGTCTGCCCGCACTGTTTTTTCAATTTTCTTTTAGTGGTCAACCTGCTTTTACAAAAGATTGAAAGAAGCATTCTCCCGTTTTGGTTTAATGGTGATTACTGCTGTCACAAAAGTTAATTTGATGAATTGCACCTTAATTCGTAATCGGTGAATTGTACCTTGATTTATAATTTAATACTTTTTAGAAATAGATACTAATTTTATTAATTTAACCATTTTTTTGTCAAAAAAAAAAAATTGGAAGAAGTCAAGACGCTGCATTTCCGTTGTGAAAATGAAAGGGGGCCATGACGAGTCACACGGAAATCACGTGTAAGAGGAAATCGTCAAATACCAAAAATATAATACCAAAAAAGACATCGTGTAATGTAAAGGCAAATTAAGAAGAAAAATCACAGGAGAAAGTAAGAGGAATCCAAGGCAGGGAAACAAAATTTGAGCTGAGAAATATACAGCTAGAAGAATACCGATGAAAAATTAAAGAAAAAAAGCCACAAATATTATTCACCATTCTAAATTATAGGTAAATTATAGGTAGATTAATTTTTTGACCCAGAAAATATTAAGTAAATTAAAAAAAATATTAAGTAAAATAGATGGTTTCGTTAATCGGTGAACAACGAAACCATCTAATTCACTCATATCTGCTCATAGTTTTTTTGTCCAGCATCTTCTTTAATTTTCCCTCCGTCTCTACAAAAGCATAATACTAAGTAATCGGTGAATACTGAAACTAAAATTATGAAATTAAAAATTTTGACAACCAATATCAAAAAAATAAAAAAATTTACTTTTGTATTAGTTTTGGTTAAAAAAAAGTTTAATTAATCAAATATCGATATAAGTGAAATACCACCAAAAAAAACCTAAATATTTTGTGATAAAAAATTAA